AATTAATGACAGAATTTTCATTTTTGGGTGAACTAACCCTTTTAGTTTGCATTAAAAGTGTCATCATTTACTCACCCTCAAGTTATTCCAAACCTGATGGGAGTTATTTTGTTCTGTTGAACAAAAATATATTTTGAAGAATGTTTTGAACCAAACAGTAGCTGGTAGCCATAGAATGGAAAAAAATACTGTGGAAGTCAGCCTCTACCAGCAACTGTTTGGTTACCAACATTCTTCAAAATATAATCTTTATGTTCAACAGAGGAAAGAAATTCATACAGGTTTGGATCAACATGAGGGTGAGTTGATGACAATTTTCATTTTTGGTTGAACTATCCCTTTAAAACATTGATAAATATTCATTCTGATGGTTTTGATGCTTTTTAATTCAAGGTAATGAGTATGATGGTTGTCTCCTAAACCTACTAAGATTAAGATCTAGTTTTCTTCACAAGTTCACTAACTTTTCATTCTCTGTGACATTTTGAATGTCATCAGGGTTTTGGCACAATTTACTTGCATGCCGCATGCATTAAAAGCACTTTTTTCTCACAGGATATTGCACTGCACACAACTGACTGTATTTTACTCTATAAGCGTCTGATAATGTGTGCTTCTCTCCCACAGATTATAATGGCCAAGCCGGCTGGTGGACCCAAAGCTCCTCAAGGAAAGAAGGACTGGGATGAGGATGAATGATGTCACTAACCTGTGTGTCTCTCTGTCACCGTCTTAGCTTTTCAAGTGTTGTGTATTTAATATCTAGCCCCCGTTCTTTTTGTATTTTTAGAAGCCATCCACGTTAACAATGAGTGGCTCTGAGCTGTTATGCTGGTCCCAATAAAGGCACTTGAGCTGTCAGCATCTTTGTCATTTATTTTAAATAATGCTTGGTGCACAACAAAATGCAGCGTAATTGTTACAGTTTGACATTCTTGAAAACGTATTAAACTTGCTTATTGAAAAGTTACAACATTTAGGCACACACTATGATAGATTATCTCAAAGCCACTTAAAGAATGGCTTTTATGAAATATAACTGCAATTTTCCTTCCAGAAAATCGGTGTAATTACAGTCGTTAGCAAAAT